CTGCTGAGCTGAGCTGCACAAAGTTTCCCACAGTGGAAAAAGGCAGCAGGCTCCTTCTCTCCAGGCTTGTGCATATGGCTTACTGCTTTCTGCATCCTATTGCTGGCTGACAGCACGCGAAGAACCATCCTGCCTGGGAAAGCCTCTGATATTGTCAGTGACAGGATAGGCAGCCCATACACCGACCGCGAAGGAAGGGTGTGGGAGGAGGGAGTCCTAATGGAAGGGGCCATTCCCCTGTTAAAGAAAGTCAGTCAACGTCATCTGCAGAGAGAGGGGTGTCACACGATGTCTTCAGCAGAGCGCTGTGGAGGAGAAGACCCCAGGCTCAAGAAATGGCCCCAGTTGCATAGGAAACCCCTGTTATACTGGCCAGTGTCTATCACTAACCCACCCAGGAGCCTGCGCCCAGCGTTGTCCCGCAGAGCCAGCCGAGCTTCCCTCTCGGTCACGTTGTAGCTGATGTTCAACAGCTGGATAAGGAGGATGTATCCCATGCCAGCTGTTACAATGGCACAGTACCACACACAGGTGAACGACAGAGCAGAGCTGGCAGCAGGGAAAAAGATGGGAAGGAAGCCATTTAGTTTTGGAGCAGCTGCTTTAGAGTGACTTTCCCTGGTAATCACTATCCTTTCAAATCCCTGTCTGTATCTGCCACAGTGATCTCACTTTGCCTGCTTTCATCAGATAATCCTTAAAGGCTTTCTCAAAATTAAAGCTTCAGGGCTTACTTAATGAGAGCTTTTAGCACTACCAGAGCTACTCTTGCACATTGCTATCACACTACCTAGCTCTTTACTCCTACTGTTGTAAAGGTACTCGGTCCTTATTTAAGGACACAACGATGCTCACACTTGATAGATCGTGAAATGGAGTACTGAAGAAGGTAGAGTCCCTTGTGCTAGTATACTCTGCCCATCCGTGGTAGCACCAGTCTCTGAACTTGTCTCCAACGTTTCTCACCGCTCTCCCCGCCAGACAAGGCATTAACACTGTCTGTTCTAAGCAGGTAACTTGGAGGGACAGTCCCTAGATAAACAGTGAGGGATGAGAGGGAGAGACAGCACACGGATTCCAGACTGTCAGACCGTCACCTGCATCTCGGGGCAAACATATTTAAGGGTGTATCTATATAGGACACGATAAATAAAAAGACTTCAAATCCCAGCTCCTCCAACATCTTTTTTCCAAATAAATGGTGAGCTCTCTCCGAGTCTCAGGTTCCCCACCTTGGCAAAAGCAGTGATGCATCCCTGCTTTCCAGAGCTTTTTAAGGAGCACTTTTTGGTCAAGTTTGACAGCCAACAGCACCGGCCTAGAGCACAGAATGAGGAACAGGAGCTAAGCTGCCTGACCAAGCCCATTCCCACCCCAGCTCTCTCCCAGACAGACATCTCACCTGTAGTCAGAATAGGCCCCGGGGCAGTAGAACAATGCCACAAACGGAGTTCGGCCCCTACAGACGGTGTGTAGGGTCAACGTAATCCCATACACAGAGGTGAGCATGAAGAAGGAGAGTGCAAGGATGAATGCTTGGTGGTTCTGCTCCCCTACACAGCTGTTAATCCTCCAAAAGGAAAGAAGAGATTACTTTGCTTAAGAAGAAAAGAAACTGGCTTCTCTTTCCTCCTCCCCACCCCAGCTGTCAAAGAACCTAATTTCCAAGGTCCTTCTATACAACACAGGCTAAGAACTTTGAAACACGTTCAGAGAAGCTTTATAGCTTTTTATAGAAAGGCTATAGGCACAAGTCAATAGACCAGTAGGGTAACGGTGGCAGATCATTTGCCTCAAACTTTTAGCAAGTGTAGTATCCTTCGCTGAGACACATCTATACCCTACTGCTCCTTGGTTCCAGTACTGCATGCACACAGACAGCTTTGGGTTCCCTTGCCCCAGGAGAGCACTAATGCCAAGTTAACTGCAGGATTGCTAGTGCTCCACAGACCAAGTCTTTAAAAAAACAAAAGAAAACAAAACAAACAAACCTCCCCCTGCCCAAGAAAACCAACCCCAGACGAAAACCACTGGAGAACCAAAGGCAATTCTGAAGCATGCTGCAGAAGTTATCAGCTATCAGGTCAACCCACTTACAAGAAAGTTGTTTATATTCTTTAAAACGGTAAATTTGTATTTACCGTTTTAAAGGATGTCACCAGGTCTTGTACATAATAAAAGCAATCCCATTTGATAGGGACTGTAAAAAAAGAAGCTCACTTAAAAGGGGGGGGGAGAGAGCAAGAGAGAGAACACACATGTAGCCTCAGCAGTGCAAAACCTACCAGACACAGTGATGGTCCAGTCTCCTTACACACCTGCCACAAAGCCTGCAGTGCCCTGCTCGGGCTGGTCTGACCAGCTGGCATTTAGCACACCAGTCCTTTTTCACACCTTCTGGCTCCTCAGCTGACATCCTAGGATAGCCTTTGGCCTCCCCATTCACAGCACGGCCAATGGCAGCTCCTGATGTGGTGACGCCATGGAGCCCGTTGGAGCTCCCTCTAACACTCTTGTTGGGCAAACCCCGGTGTGATGACTTCTCATTGCTTGCTGGGATGGGAAGGTAGCCAGGGTCTTTCTTGGCTTGAGACAGGGCTGCAAGCATAAGAATTAACCCGCATGTGAGAGCGACCACTTGGGAATACCCCACGTGGCCTCGGGGAACCACCTCCTGGAGAAACACATAGTACATGTAGCCCAAGGAGAAGAGCCCCAGGCTCAAGAAGAAGAGAGTCCGTTCCTTCCTCCTGTGGGTGAGGTAGTAATACCACAGCACCACCACGGGCAGCGACGTCAAGATGACGAGCCCCAGCAGGAAGTGCAGAGCGGCAACGTGGAGAAAGACAGGCAAAAGAACGAGAGGTGGCACGAGGCTGACGTTGATCTTCACAGCCCCTGCGAACCAAGGGATCCGCAGCCGGTCCGCGACGGTGTCGGCAATTCTTTCCAGAGCTCCCGGGGGCAGGGATTTGCATGTCAGCCACCTGTTAGGGGGGGAAGCACAGACACCGGCTAGCAGACGGGCAAGCTGCGCACCCGAGGCCCTTGCCCTGCCTCCTCCCGCTCCTGCAGC